GCAAAGGCACATCAATCTAAATAAAAAATTGCAATGTATAATGTTGGAATCTGTCAGCAACATCATGACAGTTGATTATAAAAAAGTGTGCTAGACTTCACAGATTTATGCTAATCATCTGCAGTACTTGTATTGTAAAGTCCTTGCTGCTGTTTTTATATTTTGTCTACAACAAACAGATTTAGATACAGCTTGGATATATGTTGAACCTTTCAATGGCAAAAAAAACACATCCCTAGTCTGGTGAAGTGAACAGAGATTCAGTACTTTATTTTTGTCGTGTCGGTTGGCTGTGTTTCAATACTGTAGTCTGTCAATTTTTTTTATATACTGTTTATATTCCTACTTTGGAAGCTTCCCTACAACCTCATTTGCAATCCATCCAACCATCTTTTTAGTTATTGTCGCAGGGTATTTCATCAACAATGGATACCTTGCATGGAATGTAAGAATTTCCAATAACCTCTGAAACCTGTTGGCTATAGGCAGCAGACGGTGTGCACCCCTTCAGCTTATGCACTTCTCTATCGCTATTTTGTACACTTCAAGTCATACTGGTCATCGCTTGGGATCACAGCATAATTCACACTACTAGGCTGAAAAAGCACTAATAATTACATATATTGCAGTCCAGTATATCCAGCCAGAATGGCCAGCCTGACCAGTGGACTGATGCCCATTACTTTCCACTGAACTAAGCATTGCAAGTTATATGACCAACATGCTAACTGGACATTTATTGTCAGATACACTTTTAATACTTTGCTGCCATTTGTTTGCTTAACACAAAGAGTTATGCAGGTAAACAAGCAGCTCTTTGGACGTTATGTGCTTCCGCATTACCATTCCTTCTATTACAATAGTTACGGCCACAGTCTCTACTGTATGATATAACATCAGTGGAAGGATGAGAAACACCTTGTTCATCTGAATTGTGAACCGATCCACAGGACATAGATTAGAAGGTGGGGCTGGATGATGTCATTAGCATCTTCAGGGTGAGACAGGCAGCTGAAGTGAGCGACTTACAAAGCAGCATTTTGTAACTTGTATGTGCAAACTATGCCAGCATGAGACCCAGGTTTGTATAGCCCCTCCCCCAACAAACATGCAATAATCCAGTTTATACTCTTAGGTACCGGTGAGTAGAGGTGTTTGTCCCCTGACCCCAGGATCCCCCAAAAGATCTTTTTTTTATTGGATTCCAGTAGTTTCAAGAATATGTTTTGTATTTTTAATAACAAATATCTGCTCCATTACTGCATTCAGAATAATATTAGGTAATGAATCCCTAAAATTCAGTCAAATGGGAAAAAGGGTCCTCTTTTTTATGAAAGAATTATCTAACCCACATGTTACACTGTTCATTCAATTAAACTGATTTTTTGCTTAACAAATGCATACTGCACAATTTTTACGTGTTTTCAATGAAGTATGTGACAGTTTAACATCTCGTCACAGGCTCTATACAGTAAAATCCGAGGTCCCTGCGATGCTTAATTAGCAGTTCCTGTCAAGATACAAACCTGAGGGGTGGGACATTTCTAACAGCTTTCCTGGATGCTTTAAAAGAGCCCCTTGTAGGTAAAAAGAGTGCTGCTGCATGTCTTCTGCTGACCTATTTAGATAATTGCACTCTTCATTATGAAACTCTGGCTGAAAGAGAAATTGCACTTCCCCATCGGTATCTAGGTAACATAATCTCCCTCTGGCGAGCTAATTGCATGGCATGATAACCTCATAGGCAGTGCCTGTTTAATTTTTCATCTCTTTCAAATAATTATGGATCAGAGGAGAGCGGTATTGATTTGATTCATTTACTTCCCAGTCTGTGCCAAGGTTAATGATTATATGTATTCCAATTACACTGTAAGGATCTAGGAGACTATTTACTTTGATTGGCTTACAATAAATTAATGGCAAAGGTTGCATTGGTACAATCCCAAAATGAGTCAATAAATGCTCTCTAATAATTTACTTCCAAAATAATTTAATTAGAAGTGTACAAACAAAAACATTTCTGATTCTCAGGCTTGCCATTTTTTCCAGTCCTTTTTTTCCAGTTTATTATAAATTGATTGCATAAGTACGGGATACAAAAATAATAGTATTTAGAACAATAAATGACTTCAGCTTACCTTATACTCTGACTCAAACCTGTTATTGTGATCATGGCTGTTATAACTGTTATTGTGATCATGGCTGTTATAACTGTTATTGTGAAAGAAATCAATTCTCTGTAAAGAAAAAAAGCGGAGAAAATGAAACAAACAGTATACATAACATAATTCTTTTCTCAAACATTTTCATCATTTTCTGAAGGTTTGGCAATTAGAAGATTTTGGCTAAGCCAATTGTAGAATTTTGTACATCGTGGGTAATTTATTATGTAAAGAAAATGGTACTGTTATAATTAGTATTTTGCATTGTGCTCTTGTTTTCAATGGATTTAGGAAAGATAAAACGGAAGTAGCATATGCTAATGGTGATCTGGTGACTCGTGGAATGAGATGTTGCCTGGCATGTCCAGAGCTGGGGATTTGAATTCTAATTTGTGTGCGTGTGCGTATGCGTGTGCGTGTGTTTTGATTTTGCATGTTCTCCACGTGTTGCTTGGGTTTCTTCTTGGACCTTTGGTTTCTTCCTGCCATCTGAATATGTTACTTGACATCTCATTGTGTGTGATTGTGTATGCCTGCCCTGCAATGGACAGAAACCCTGCCAGGGTGTACCCTTGTGTGTTCCCTGTGTGTACCCTTGTGTGTACCCTTGTGTGTACCCTTGTGTGTACCCTTGTGTGTACCCTGTGTTGCCTGCTCCAGGTGCCTTGCGACCCTGACCGGATAAGTGGTTAGCACATGGATGAACGTGGATGCATCTACAAGGTGAAAGTAAAATATGAAACAAGGCAATAATATGTCTCATTTTTATCTAAGAAATATAACTAAAATCTTTTTTTTTTTTTATAGAGGGTTTGCACACAGGTTGGTGCGTATGAGAGTATGAATTGCACTAGTCTTTCATCTAAAATTGTATTTATTCATCAGTAACTTGTTAACGTGGTCTACTGTTATGCAAGAACTGCACTTGTGTAAAAATGTGGTCCACTAAAACTATGAAAAGCACAGATGTGCTGGTTTACACCCTCTCAGCTGTTTTGCAGGCTCTATTTCATATCATTAGGTCTCTGTCTAGTCATTAGTACCACAGCTCATATACTCTGTATTTGAACATTTGGAGGCCCCCAGCTCTACTATAAAACACAATAGTTAATCATGAGACTGCGATGATGCAACAGAATAGCAATTTATATGGCCTGGAAAGTCTAAATAGACTACTAAGAGCATTTCTTTTCACAAAATGCATTGGTTTCAGATGTGACACAAATCACCCAAATAGTGCCAACCTTATGTTTGATAATTAGAAATGACCATCAAATGTGGTCTACCGAAAAAGACAGTACAGCTAGTTGTGATTCAAGTAGGCAAGATGCCTCTTAGCACAATACAGATTTGTGCCTCAGCTTGCTTTTACATCCGACATGTGCACAAAAAAAACTGCTTAACTTTTTCATTCTGAATTCCAGTCAAAGTATAATGCACTGCCAACGTTAACACTGCTGGAGTAGGCTAAAATATACAGAAAAGCAATCATGATTTCAAGTCTCTAATGCCTTTTTAAAGGATTCAAATGAAGGTCAGGAAAGGCTTTCTCTGACTGATTTTCCCGTTATTCACTGAAGACTTTCTGAAGAAGGCGAGCGACTTGGAATGGCTCCTAATACGTCTCACTTTCATTCTCGTGAGTCCTGCCATTGGCAGGTTTGCTCCTGCATTACCGTTTCACAAGGAGCTGCCCCACTTGGGTGATTTACAGCTGTTGACATAAAATATACAGGTTTTAACAAGATTTTTTAACAAGGGCAAGATGTGGGACACAACCTTTGGCTACAAATGTTTTGAGTCTTAACAAGCTACTGAAGAAGAACGACGCTGAGGAAGGACCTTCCTGAAAATGCAGCTTCTATGGTGTGGACTGGGGTCCAGTACATTTTTAGAGCTGGTGTGTACTCTACAGAAACCAGAGCTTGTCTGAATATAGTACATCCTCCCACTAGGTTTGTATTTACCACTGTAAATAATTACAAATACATAATAAGTAAACATTGGGTGTTTTTGGTGGAGGTGAATGGACTCCCTGTGTGATATACTAAACAGAAAGAGATCTACAGTTTTCAAGCATTCACATTAAGTCTAGTTCATCATCACGTCAGTAAGAAATAATGAACATATATGTGTGCATATATATATATATATTTTTAATTTGAAAATATACTAAAATCTTATATCACATGCTAATTCTGCACCAGTATTATCTCCAAATCATGCTATTGAATGGATTTGAACAAATTTCATTTGTCCATAATAATTCTTTATTAACATTTTCTGATCATACAAATGTCTCCTCCTGTGGGTGGCAGTGGAGCTCCTGGTTGTTTTCTTTTGTAGAAGTTCTCAATGAGGAAGGAAGAGCTGCAAGTCAGTTGTTTGGCACCGTTTTGCAGTTGACACATCAGCGATGGGATCAGGGTCTCAGGTAGGCAGGTGCAGGCTAAGTGCCACGCATAGACATGCACTTTCAGTTCCTCAATCTTGCATCTGTAACTGTCTGCACTGGCACCTATTCAGAAAATTGAGCCTGGGAATTACCGTATGAATGTAAAAACTTCAAATACCATTGGAGATAAGTTAAAAAAGAAATTAGGAGATTGTTTAGATCGCTGTGCTTAAAAAAATATTTTTTTTTCATTGCACCATTTTAGTTCAGCAGGTAGTATTGTATGCAGTTTTGTTATTGTATTTTTTATAAAATACTTTAAGCAAGTGAGAATGATAATATAACTTTTATTTTGCATTAAAGAAGTTAATGCACCTGTATTTGTCAGTTATACAAAAAAAACTTAACAAAGACATTAATAAAAATGCCCAATATATTATCCAATAATCAGTTTGAAATCAGAATCTTAACAAGACGTGAGATGACTACTGTAGCTAGATTAATGAACTGAGATATGAGGCTGTTTTTATTTCAGTTTTTCCTTTCCATTCTGCTTTTTTCTCTCTTCCCCTCTGCGAAGCTAGTGGTCAGTAGTTTTTACACAAGGCTTTAATCTGCTGTGAGAGTTCTGCTGTGGAACCATCCATTAAAGAGCTCTGAAGCTGCAAAGCCATTCAGGGGGCTGTTAGGGGGCTGGGACAGCCCACATGCTCATCCTCGCCAGAGTGGGCCACTGTGGCTGTCTTCTTGGCGAAAGGCGACGGAAGTCCCCCCCAGTCACATGTGACTTTGGGCATGCCGCCCCCATGTTTACCAAGGGCAGGAACAAAATGGGCCCTCTAGGATCGTTTGTCCTGAAAGGCAGAAAAGCCATTTAGGAAACAATTTGGGGAGCTTGTTAAATAGTGCTACTCCACACCGAAAACATAGCCTCTCCACAACAGATGTTTGTTTTTATTTACTTCACCCTATAATGCAAAGATTGTTAAATTCTGAAATAGACTTATTATGAGACCCTCTAAACAAATGAATGCTTTGCTGTGGATCTGCGGTGAAGGATTATATCAACAAAGGCACATTAGAACTTTTTTACATGTACAGTAATATTAGATGTGAAGCTGCATACATGGTAGGCTTTTTGCTCCTGAACACATTTATGGCATTCATCAATTGTTTAATATCAGCATAAATTACAAAATATTTTGTATTTGTGTGTATCTGAAAATGTTTTCTATAAACATTTTCATGGTATTTGAGTACATTCACAAAAACAATTGTAATATGGCCAGTGGTCTTTGGTGACTGCATATAAGACAAAGATTAAACTTTTCACATCGAAACTCCAGACCTGGAGGCACCAGTTCCACCTTAAGTGGAGATTGCCAGTTCTCCCCATATTGTATGGGTTTCCTCCAGTTACTTCAGTTTCCTCTCAGAGTTCAAAGACATTCAGTGAGGCTAACCAGTGTCTCTAAATTTCCCATAGTGTATGATTAAGTGTGTGAGGATGAGAGTGCGTGAATGAGCCCTGTGTTGCACTGGTATGCCATCCAGTGTGCCCTATGAGCCCTGTGATGCACTGGTATGCCATCCAGTGTGCCCTATGAGCCCTGTGATGCACTGGTATGCCATCCAGGGTGCCCTATGCCATCTAGGATAGGTTCCAAGCCTCCCAACACCTTGATCAGGACAAACATCTGAAAGATGGATGAATGGACTTAATATTACTGATATTAAATTACAGTTCAATTCAATTCTGCTTATATTGGTCATAATTGAAACAACTGCAGAAAATAAACTTCTGCCACAATGATAAGGTCATTGTGAAATTGCTCCACATAAAATGTTTGACTCAGCATGCCTCAACTAAAACTTGAACTGTAAAAAACATGGAACAATGGAACAATAATGTATTATGTTCCTCTCCTCTGGAAAAATGTGAATTGTTTCATAAAATCACAATGAATCTATAGCACAGGGAGACTGGGTCGGCTTAATGGGAAACACACTTGGAAAAAGGGCAGGTGGCTGGAAGCAAGTGAAACCATTAGCATTTTAAAAGCAGAGTAGTGGAATATTCTGGATTGATGAGTCCTGTTTGGTCAACATGTTTGTAAGGTCTGGAATGCAGTGGTTGTGGCAGTGACCACATAAGAATGAGGACTTGGACAGAATTCCAGTGGCCAGAAAATGACAACGTCTCCCACACCCGTTTTAACCCTGTTTATTGGCCTGATGTTGCCAATAAAATTGGCATGAATCAAACAGTTCACATTTATTAACTATTTTAAATACCGACATAAATAATTATTTTAGAAGAGCTGAAACAAAATACACTAGAGACACACGATGCATTTTTGCCTGAATGAAATTTATTTATGAATGATCTTTGGTCTGTTTTATGTCTACAGTGTGACACAGTGGTTAGCACTGTTGCTTCATGCCCCTGGGACCAGGGTTCAAGTCTCTGCCCTGGTGTGTGAAGTTTGCATGTTCTCCCCGTGTTGTTGTGGGGTTTCTTCTGGGTACTGCCATTTCCCCCCCACGCCCCCATAGTCCAAAAACATGCTGAGGTTGATTAGGGTTACTGACTTGCCTGTTTGATGGGTTGGTGCCCCATCCTGGGTTGTTACCTGCCTGTTGGCTCTGTACCCCCCTGACCTTGTATAGGACAAGTGGTTGCAAAAGATGGATGTCCACAATCTGCCTTGTTAATATTGTACATTTTAATGCATGAATTGATAAGCAATTTTAAATGCATGCATTTCAGATAGTAAGCATGCAATTCTGTGTATATAAGTAGCCAAGGTATTCAGTTCTATTTATTCCAACACTTTTCCAGAGATAAACTGATGCACAGAGTGCAGGTCAAGGGATTATGAGGACAGTGATTGCTGTGGCAGTTTTTGCAGCCACTGATGACCTGAGCAGACACACTGTCAGTTTTCTATGCAGTGAGATGCCTGCTCGACAGCCTTTGCAGCCACTAAGCCACAATAAGTGGCCTGTGACCAAAGAGCCAGATCTTGCCCAAGACTCCAGGGTGGGGTGGACTTCCTCAGACCTTTCAGCATGACTCCAGAACTGGGAATGGGAGTTTGGAGTCTTGAGCACATCTGGTTTTCTTGATGGGGACAGTTTGTGGTGGAAAAAGCCCCAGTGGTTATTTCCTTCCTTATGGTTCCCATCCCAGCAAAGACTATAGAGAGGATCCCTTGTTTAAAATGGAATGAACAATTTGGTCATTGACTAAACTCCATTTGTCAATGTATTTTTCTGTCACCATTGGTATGCCTCACCCACAGCTCACTGAGAGACACATATAGCTATCCTTCATATTCAACAATATTCAGCAAGTGTTTGTTTTGTAAAAATGACACTAACTGAGGTTTGGTTGTATGTTAAGAAAATCAGTGTTAAATTGCATAGAAATGCATGTGTATATCTGATTGTAAATGGTTTCCAAGGTAAATACAGAGTATAGCTGAAAAATGTTTGAAATGAACTACAAGTGAAAACCATACTTGTTTCAGGAAGGCACACTGGTTTCTTAAACTCAAAGTATTACATTTTGTGTTGTAGGGTTGGTACTTTAAATTGAGCATATCAAATTACATCAATTGCTCCAGACAGATGTCCACAACACAAACATGCAGCATTTGCACGAAAGGTTTTCATTTAAAATAAGTTTTGCAAATTACTTCCAAGCCAAAACCAAAATTATATGAATGTGACAAACCTAGAGCTGTATCATTGGTAAATTCCTTTAATTTTTGTGGAAACTTTGAAGGTTGTCCTTTATAAAAATAAACTATTGTGGTGCAACAAAAGTATTGTTTTGTAATGGGTTGTGTACATAATGAGTAATGATTGAAAATAATGCCTATAGAAAGGACGCTGATACTAAGAGAAATTATGATGTGTTGATTATCAGTTTGTCTTGATATTTGTAAACAGTGCATGAGAGAAATGTAAAAAGAAATGAAAGTAAATGAAAATTATATAACTTTCAGACTCAACCCATCCAAAAAATATTTGTACTTGTACAATATTATTAATTTCCAGAGTATGCTTTTCTTGACTAATAGAACACCAAGATAATCATACATACTGTAGTCTCACTCCTGTACTTCAAAAATCCCAATTGATGCATTTCGCTAATGTACTTTGCCTAGACTTAATCTGATTCCTATGGGTTAGATCATGGAATAAATTTGTTGAGTATGACCTGGTGTCATTCTAACAACTTGTAAACAACAGTCATACACCTCAAAGTTCCTGGCTTTTGGTGGTGAAGGCCAGACATTATTCTTCCAGTAAACGCATGGCCTTTCAAGAAACACCGGCTCTTTTGCATTGTTGGCAGGAATGTGAAATGTAGGAGTGCATTTCAGCTGTTCTCCTGGCAGACATGAATGCCATAGTGTGATGAACAGATGAATATGCGCAACAGCGTTTAAAGTGGAATTTGTTCAACTACAGGAGAAAGCTTTTAATGCATAGTTTTTCAGTCAAAATTGCAGAATATGAGTGCAAAAGAAGTAATTTATGAGCAATGTCTATATCCTAAAGAATAATACAAAAAAAAAATGAAATCTTTATAAAAATGTTTAAAGTACCAGTGCACAACAAATGAAATATTTTAGCAGGAATCATGAATGGCATGTGGTTAGCTATTGGTGTAATGTATAAATAGATAAAATATATAATAACCAGTGCATGTTTTATAATTCCAGTCTGTCTGAGGGAGTTTTACCCCTGAATGTTTATTCAGGCTACAAATAAACTCCTCCTCAATGACAGAACATCCACTGTCGACAGCAGATGGCAATGATGAGAAAACATACTGACCAAATAAGCACTATACCCAACATTAATTTTATTTGCAGAGGTAATGCACTCAGTTTCAGGCTTATGTTAAAAAAATGTGCAGTGCTTTTAATGACATACTTTCCCATCCACATGACAGGTAGATCCTGCCCAGACTGCTCCCCTATTCCACAGAATATCCCTGTTCCATCTCTGCCCAGACTGCTCCCCTATTCCACAGCACATCCCCGTTCCACCTCTGCATTATATGTAACACACTCAAATTTCTGTTAAGAATTGTTCATTGTTGGCACTTTAATTCTGCTATTGAGTACATTGAGTAATATTTTTTTTAGCACTTCTCACAGGTACTGTAGCTGCAACTTTTTAGAAGTACTCTCAAGACCAATCCAGGATGCAGGTAGAAAAGTATTTCACTACAGACAGACAGTTGCTACAGCCGTCAATAGTACAGTGTGTTTATGTACAGCCAGTCTTGCAGTGTAGTATACAATGTATTAGATGCAGACTCCAGCACCCACATAGAGACTTGCCAGCATGTGAAAACTTACCATGACAACTCTGTAACACTATGTAAGTTTATTCTAAACTATTATGGCTTTAAAGACTTCATAAGCTTAAGGTTGAATTGAGTCCTGCCAGGAATATACATGATATACTTGGAGGCGTCAATCCAGCACTCAGCAGGCAGTGATATTCCCTCCAGTTCGAATGGGCTTCCATTTCAGTATTGGCATGGTTTGATTTGCTTTGTGTGTGGATTTCAGGATCCAGTTAAATCACACTGATTTGTAGTTGATATGAACTGGCAGTGCCTAAACATGTGACTCCCCGCTATCAGACATGCATCCCACTTAGAAGCTGAATTGCTTGTGATTCCTGGGATATGCAAATTCATTTCAGGTCACAGTTACTTTAACAGGCAAACCATTACAAAGATGATGTCATTTTCTTTCTCTGCTTGCACAGAAACCTGTAGTACAAATGCAGGCAGTAAGTCAATAAGTCGATATGGGGAGTACAG